ATTGTTGCTGATAAATTTAGATGTTCGATGTCTTCGTCCGTGTCGGCGGTAGAACCGAGGGAGCAGTACAGAATAGTACGGGATAATCTTAGTGCTGCAAGTAGCATCATGAAACTCTAAACCCCTTAATGTAATCGTTAAGACCGAAAGGATAGATAGTCTGAAGTAACCATATCCAGAACAACTCTGCATCAGTCAGTCGGTGAAATCGTCCACAACTTCGAGGACTTGAAAGGATATGTCGGACACGGAATGCCCATGATCGCAATAATGAGTATACAGGACATTGTTGGAAGTGTCATGACGGGCACTATGCACGTGCTCTAGAACCCTCGCACGCAGGCAACGTTTAGTCTGATCGACGTACTGTAACCCGCATCGCTTACACGTAATGCAATATACGATCTCGCATGTGGAACAGGTGGGTGGGTAGCGGAGTGAGGTGTGCGTAGCGACGAAGCATTTCCCTGAAATGAAACTGCGAGCGTGCTGTGATTGAGAGATAAATGTGCAGCACCTGCAGTTACGCCCTGTAAGGCACCGTGCGGAGGAGCAGATAGGTAAGATGAAAGGAAATATCATAGGAATTGTCGGAATAGGCCACATAGCAAACGAGAGGAAAGGTGCGGAAGCCCAAGCCTGTAGCCATTAGGCGCTCCGGGGACGCAGGCGTTGGCTTATCCCCAGATGGCCAACCGCCTGTGGCCAAAAGGCTCGACCGGACGCAGGCAGTCGCCCATCCGTTCGGCCTATGGCACCTCAAGAGGTACATGAACCCATGAAAGTACGGAGTATCACTATGGTGAACAGCGTGCTTTGCATAAAGTGTTCCTGACGTATACCGCAGAAGGCGGTATGGCAAATGGGAAAAGCAGCGAGGGGGGTGGGGTTGTAGTAGCTAAGAGCTTACCGCTCCAAATGATGAATGGGCCTGAATATGGTACGGAAGAGCGTGTTATAATGCAAGAAACATTAATTCGTTCGAGCGATATAAAGAATCACAAGCTTGTGCACGTTTATTGGAAAATCGCATCGAAATAAATAATATTAAACAACTGGAAGACGAAACGGCAGAGTTATAATAAGAGGACGCAAAACTCAGAAAAATACATGGAATGCAAATATAAGTAGCTAACTTGGGAACCAGCAAAGCCAGTAGGCTGAAATTTTAAGGAAATGTCCTAAGCCTATACACAACTCAGTGTTATCAAATTCAGCTACCAGGCATGCATGGTTCTCAAACACAGCTCCGTGAAAGTTTTTGGCGGGAAGAACTACTAACTCAGGAAGGAAAGAAACTGGAAGGCTAAAATCTTTGGGGACGTTCCCAGCCTGTATACAACTTAAATTTATCAAATTCAGCCCCCAGGCAAGCGTGGTTCTCGCGCACGACCCCATGAAATTTTTTGGAGGGAAAAAGGGCTAACTTGGGAACCAGGAAAGCTGGGAGGCTGAAATTTTGAGATGATCAAAACCCATGTACAATTTGAAGATTTCAAACCCAGCTCCCAGGTATGCCCCAGTCACTTGTGGCCATGTGAAAGTTTTGGCTGGAAAACTACCAATTTGGGAACCAGAAAAACTGGGAAAGCTGAGGTTTTAGGAGAATGTTCGTCGTCCAAACACAACTTAAAGTTTTCAAATTCAGCCTCCA